TCATATTAACGGTTTTCACAGCTATCTTGTTTTTAGTTTCTCCCTAATGGCCAATTTTGTCGCACTTGTTTTCTTCGATACTACACTGCCAAATGTCAGTCATCAACATGGTGCTTTCCGCATCAAACAAAGAAACTCGACAAGAAGAAGTGAAAAAATATTTAAAAGTAATTTTAAAGAGGGCTACTGGTAGACTTGTAAAAGTTCTGGTAGTGCAGTAAACCCAAAAATGTTTAAAAAATTGCCTCTTTTTACCCCTAACATAAAATAAAGTTTCGTCAACTTTTACTTTAACAAGTACACTGCTTTTTAAAAAAGCGTTCACATATTTTTTCTTCAATAAAACCATTGCCAGTACATAATCTTGTAAGAAAAAGTTATTAAAGCTGCAAAATGTACTAGCACTTTTCAAACACTCATTCAAAAATTTTTATTCTATACCCGCTTTAGACACTTTTTTTGCAAAAGCCACTGTTTTCTTGACAAAAAATGACAGGGAAAGCACAACGAAAATTACGAAGAAATAAATGTGCAGTTCCAAAGGCGGTGTTACTATGAATGTGGACCAAGCAAAACTCATAAGCTTCATTACAATGCTTCGAGGCTTTATTTTATAATAGAAACAAGTCACTCAAGAAATAAAATTCTGCAACATAAAGCTTACAGTTCTTAAAGTACACAGACTACTACTGTGAGAAGAAATTAAAGCTCTTCTCATTTGTTTTCTACGGTTGTCTCGGTATGAACAGCCACCACCAGTTAAGTTCCCCAGCGAACTAAAACTCTTCAAAATTTCTCTTATAGCCAAATCTTCAAACATTTCAAACTTTTAATTAAGTTGATAAGCTGCCCTATTTAACACCAACAAATGCATGAATTCCAATTGAAAAAAGAATCAAAAAAAGCTCCGGCACTTGCGGCACCATCACTAAACCAATGTTAATTAGCAACTCAAGTGTTGACTTATACAATACAATGTTGAATTCCTTAACCATGACGAAAAAAATCCAAATTCTAAGCTATTCCAACTGCAATAGAACACAACTCTCTAAACAACCCCCGCAGTGCTTCCTCTGAAATACTGAAACAGTGGTCCTTACCCTACTACTTTTTTCATATCG